GTGTGTGTGTGTGTGTGTGTGTGTGTGTGTGTGTGGGTGCGCGCGCGCGCGCGCACGCGTGCGCATGAGTATGTTTAGAGAGTGTTTTTGTTCTTGTTTTTTCAGCCAATAATCATTTACAAACTCATTTTGGGATATAAAAACAATAGTATACATTGTCCCTTGCAGGATAATATATATACACACACACACACACACACACACACACACACACACAGAGAGAGAGAGAGAGAGAGAGAGAGAGAGAGAGAGGAGAGAGAGAGGAAGAGAAGAGAAAGAGAGAGAGAGAGAGAGAGAGAGAGAGTCAGTGAGAGAGTAGTCCATCAGTCCAGTTTAAAAAAAAAAAAATCATATTCCAGATGAAAAATGCAATTTGATTTAATTGGTAAATGGAGTGAACTATATATGCTTGAAGAGCTTTATACACAAATACATTTATTTGCCAATCTATTGAACTGTTAAGTACAGCGGGAACACAGCGGTGGCTGCCTGCCGCTGTTTTAACTCCTAAAATCCCTTAACCAGAATACAGTCCTGGTGGATTAATATGCATCCTAAATCTTGGTGGCAACCAAAAGAAAGTTGCCATGACTTCATTGCTTTTCCTTAGACGTCATCGTCGGTCTTTTGGGCGATGGCAAACAACTTCTGGTGCATTACCGCCACCTTCTAAAATGTAGTTGAATCAAAAACGCTTTGATGGTTCTTCCAAATTTTTAGCATTCACTGTAATGCATTAGAAACATATTTCACTTTTTTACATATTTACAAATCATTCCAAATATGCACTGCATGGATTGGGGCTGGTCGGGGCAGTGGAGACACACCTGGGACAGAACAGTCGCTCTCATCTTTGCATCTGTAAAGTTGTGAAGTGTAACCAGGTGGATATGTGACCATAATTTAATCTCACGTTAAGTGAATCATTAAGTAGATATTTGTGGTGATTGTAATGATTCTGACACGCAGACTGAGCATTTGTGTCAGACAGGCACCAATGAAGGTGACATCATCTTTCGTAGGCGTCTACATGAAATGATGACATCGAGGAGGCATACCGCCACCTATTGTACAGGAAGCGCACAGTGTTTTCATATATAGACACTGAAGTCCATTCAAGCAAAGCCACTATGTTGACCCACGCGACAATGTGCGAGGCAGGCAGGATGTGTCTCCATCAGCCGTCTGTCAATGACTGTCAATGACAAACTGAGAGTTCCGTCTGTACTTTGGTGTCTGTCAATGACAAACTGAGAGTTCCGTCTGTACTTTTCCCGACAATTGTTCAGGACAATTACACTGACGGACGAAAACCCACTTCCGACAGTGTCTGTCATTTTTTCGTGAGTTTGCAACACGGGCCACCATTAGCAATGATTTACTGTAATGAAGATTCATTAGTTGCTTGTGTTTATTGAAAATGCATGAAAAAAGGACCTTTAAAAAAAATAACTGCTTTTTAAATCACAATTGCGAAATTGCAAGTGGCTCATTTTCCAAAATCGTTCAGCTCTAATTTAGCCTAAATGTTGATTTATTCTGTTATGTAACTGTTGTGCTCCCTGACAGACATAACCCAGTGGTAAATTATTGATGTGGGGCTTTCCAGGTAGAAGAGACAAAGTCAGGCCGTTTTTGGGTTAGAGTTAATGTTGGTTCTGTCGGCATGTGTCTGCCTCCTCCACATTCAAGCCTGTATGGGAGTGAGTCTGAAATCAAATGTAGGACTTAAACTGCATACGATGCTCTTAGAAACAAATTTTCTGTACCAGCGTACCAGGATTTGTTTGATTTTATAATTGTCTGTTTTACTTTTTGATCGACAATTACAGCTGTTTGATTGAGCCACAAAATACTGTACTGAACTATTGAATCATTTTGCCAAGACATAAATAATGTGCGTTCATGTTATTGAAATTCAGAGTAATAACATGGAACAGTTGTAAAGGTGACAGGACAGCCATTGACCCATCTGTTTTTAAATGATCTCCACAGTGATTTTGACCATGATTGTCATTCGCCGTTCCATTTCAAATATTGACCTTGACTCTTTCGTTCCGCAGCCAAAGCAAAACTAAACAATCAACCTGAACCTGAGGCCAAATCGGCAAAGTGACTGAAAAGAGGGCGCAAAGCACCTTTTGGCCATATGTGGTCTGTCAGCATCTCAGGGTTTGTGCACTCAGCTTGCCTGGGTGTCGAGATGAGACGTAATAGCAGGCTAAGCAGGGTGCATTTTAAGCTCCAAAAGCCCCAGAGGCCTCCTGGAGGGAGGAGGGTTTGATGGAATGAGAAGAAGCGAAGTTGGGAAGCGAGAGGGTGTGCCATCCGTAATGGGTCTGACTCGTGCCTGTGAGAGCTGGTTACTGATTTACCCCTATGATCCTCTCCGTATACTCCGTATTGATTCCCCTGACATGCAGTCTCATAATAGTGCCGAACAGACAAAAAAGGGGACGGACGGGTTGGCTAACTACAGCAGTGGGGAGGGCATTGTGCAGTCATAGGCAAACATTCCTAATGATTCATGTGGAAATCAGTTTTTGCAACCCAGGAAATCCGTGAGACAATTTGAACCCATTTTTTTTTTCAACCAATCGCGGTTAGTGTAGTGGTTCACTTGCTTGACTCAGGGACAATGTGAACGTAAGTGTGAATGTCGGCCTCTTTCATTATAAGTGAATGGCGATCAATCCAGGCTGAAGTCCGCCTTGCTCTGTGGCTCACTTGGTGAGGCCCCAGGTACCTGCGACCAAGTGTGTGCACTCGAATGGGGCTAACGCTTTGATAGTACTTTAAATAATCGCAGTATTTTAAAACATATACTGTGATCCCTCGCAATTAGTCACGATCAGTGACACTGTCACCTTGGTAACATACTGTACACAGTTTCACACATGCCTCTTTTCTGCACCTATTGCGTTGTCGTAAAACCAGCAGCAATAATTAACGATCCAATTAATAGTTTACACTGTTTTTATTTTTTTTTTATTTTATTTTATTTTTTTTATTGAGCTGTCAAAGTGATGGAGAGCATGCTGGTGGTGAACTCCGCCACTGCCTGCGGCTCTGCCTTCATCCTGAATCAGCACTTTGTGGTGCCTAGGAGCCAGGGCGAACAGGGAGGGCTGGGCGTAGACTGCTGATACTCACAATTCACTACTCTGATGAGTTTCCTCCCCGTTAAAAAGCACACAGTGCCTTGTTGGGGAACGGTGCCCAATTTTGGAGGGCCGCGGTTCATAAAGATTGAGCAGAGAGAAACGGAATACTGCATGGCCCTCTGTGCCGACACCCGTGCTCACTTGTTTTAACAGACGTAGATGATGGCATTGGAGGAAAAAACAAGAGATTATTGGTGATGTTATATACTGTAAGTGTCTGTGCGTGTGTGTGTGCGCGCGAGCGCACTTGATTACTTCAGAGTAAGGTAATTTAGTGTGTAAAAAGCAATACAAGATGGACAAACGAAAGACAGGCAATTACAGTACAGAGATACTTTTGTGAGTCTCTGCCTCGTAATGACAACAGCTTCCACTCTTCTGGGAAGAGCCACTGAAAACCTTTGTTAATTTTTTGGTGTTTGTAAGATCATATTTGGTCTGTTCGTCCAGAAGAACATCCGTTGTTTTTGTTGGTTTTTTTTTTCTTTGTTTTTTTTTTTTGAGATCGCTTGGAAACTGGGCCTCCCCCAGCAGAGAACTAGTTGCCAGTCAGTCACAGGGTACCAATGAGACAGACACCATTCACTCTCACATTCACATTGTGACTTTGTGGAGACTGAAATGCAGCCCTACCCAGACTTCTAGCAAATATACCCCTTCTACAATTCTTATCTTACATGCAGACACTGATTGTTCAGTGACCGCGTGTAAGATCAAATAGATATGTTGGGTCCCTCCAGATCATCTGTTCTTGTTCGATGCAAAGGTGTTTAGCTGAGTTGAGGTCAGGACTTTGTTTGCAAGTCAGTGTTGTCCACAACTCAGCTATCCTGAGATTGATGCACTGGAGCAAAGGGTTCTAGCCACCTTATTGGTTAATGAATTGATAATGTGCAATTTGTGCATGTATGTAGCACGATGTGTTTTTACAGTAAGCATGTCTGTTTTTCATTTCCCAGATAAAAAGTCTGACCTCAGGATATGGATTTGTTCAATGGAGTTTGTCTGCCAGGCTTAAATGCTCTCCAGTGTTTATCCTGCTGACACCAAAGCAGCTGGGAAAAATAATCACTCTTGTCAGCTGCTGTTAGAGGGTCACAGAGGCTAACGCCTGTCAAGGGACATTCAAAGTGCTTTATCAAAATGCATTATTCGTTTTCATACTAACATCTGATGGCTGTATGGATGGTGGTAATGATTTTGATTATGATCCTTTCTCACAACTCTGGAGAAGACAAGCATGTCTCATGGCAATTAGCTTTTATGGAGCTTTGGTCTTGGCGCACTATACGGCATATTCTACTGTTTGCACTTAGGTAAATTCCCTACGCACGTTCAAGGCACCTCGATTCCCCTGTCTTGGCTTCTGAATCACCCACCAGACGTAACCACCAAAGAGGAGTGATTCGGTGAAGCCTGAGGGTGGACCTAATTTCTGGATTGTGGAGTTTTTGTGAGACATAAATTCCGTTGAGATCCATTTTGAGAAATACATGTCACACTTTGCTTGTTTTCCTCATGGATCCGGAAGTGATCTTCCTCACTGCCTGCTTTCTGGAAAAGAGACAGGCAAGTGAAAGCTTTTTGAAACAAATACACAGGTGGTCAGAAGAGGAAGGAGAAAACTTTGGAGAAAAAAAGCCAACAATTGTTCCCTGACTGTGTGGAGCTTTCCGGGACTGACTGTGAGCTGGTGTCCGGTCTCTTACGCCCAAACCCAGAATGAATCAATCAAATTTCATTGGATTTTGCTACGCCTGTACCGGAACAAAATTCAACAGTGGACTTTGTATAATTTCATAATGCCCCGCTCCCAATAAATAAATAAATTAAAAAAATAATAAATAATAATAATAATATATATATGTGTGTGTGTGTGTGTGTGTGTGTGTGTGTGTGTGTGTGTGTGTGTGAAAAAAAAACAAA